AAACTTGACTCAATAGGCTGTCCATTGAAAGACAATGACTGCCATCGACAGTACAGGATTGAATTCGACATTTGCAAAAAATTGAACCAATTCATAGTCAAGAGACGTGAGGTGGCTGATAAATGGGAATTATGGTCAGCTTAAAATCTCATAACTATTCAAAATAGTATATTTTTGGCAGAATAACCATTTGTGTTAATCAAAAATTATTAATAAATATATTTAGCTTTAACTTTCAGATAAATTTTGTTTAGTTTTACTTTAGAAGTTACCTAATTTTTTAATTTTCAATTAAAAATTTATTTTCAAATTAAATGATAACTGGCAGATATGAGGTAATTAATTAATTATTTAATAAAGTTTTTAATGGATTTTTTTCACTGAGTATTCTTTATTATATTATTTTTCCATTTATTTTTTTTACTTCATCATAATGAAGTTGAAAATGGGAATGAATTTTAAAATCCAGATCCATCAGTTCCATTATTATTATTTCATGCTGATATATTATATTGATTTCATTCTATATTATCTATTTTCATTCTCACATATTGGGATGAACAGTTAATAAAGACAAAACAAAGCACCACTATCATTGTGATTAAATCTTCCTAAATTATTGCTTTATTTATCTGTACTGGATCAAAACAAAGCTGATTTGATATCAGATACAATAAGGGATTATTGGCTCAGTGATATTTATAAAAAATTTTGGGAATTGTTCAATTGTGATAAATACCAAACACTAGGTTGTATGTGATGTTTGATCATTGAAGAAGAATTTTTTAATTTCTAACAAATAATTGATTTCAAATTTCCCACTCCAAATAATACAGCTAAACCAATGACAAAAGAGGTCTACTTCATTTGAAAGTTTTAATCTCTCTTTTGAAGTTGAAGATTCACTCCTACACAATCATCCAAGCTTTAAAAAGAAATCCTTTAATTAATCTGTTGAAAAAAAAAACCTAAAAATATTATCTCATGTCAATGGACACATAAAAATATATTTCTGCCATGTCATCCATGAAAACGTCCAAGTAATTTATTCCTTAGATTCCATCGTGATATTTGGAAGCTTTAATTCTCTCAAAAAGCAAGATAAAACATGAGTTAAATTGTGAAAGAAATAAGACTTGAAGGAAATGAGGGTGGATAAGTAAAAAAACATGAAACATCGATCACATGGAAGGAATTAGAATGACTTAGAAGATTACTTTTTTATCATAGACATGAAGGTAACATTATGAAAAAAATTCATTTTGTATAAAATCTGATATAAGCTCAAGATAATGGAAAAGTATGACATGAGGAGAGTATATAAGTAACATGGTTAGTGTATCTCTTTGATATACTTCATTGCGGTTTCATTCGCATATAAGTGTGCGTGTGTACATGAACATAAGCAAGAGAATGCTTACAGCTGATAGGAAAGAGCTTCCAGAGTGATGTGTTTTAGTCTACTTAACCAGGTGCACACTTAGTAAGCTGCACTCTGGTAACACAAACATGTCTCATACCATAACATGCCAAGTAATTGTCTTCTCCAATATCTCATAACTAAATTCCATAGATTGGCAGCTAATTCATGTAATTAATTATTTAGGTAATAGTGAATTTGATTAGCTGCTCCACTGATGGAAGTCACCATGATAACTTTGTTGTCATCATTGCTTTGCAATCAAAGAAAATTATTTCTATGATAAATAACAGAGAATAAGTACTTTATAGTGGTTTATTTTATCAATCATTCAACCATAAATAATCACAATAACTTCCTCATAATCCATGGACAGTTGGAAAAAACTTCCTACGTGAAAAACAGATGTTTTGAATATTTGATAATCTTAATATACCTAGCAAGTATTTATTAATGTAGTCACAACGGTATAAGCAAATATGCGGAAAAAATGATGAGTGAGAGAAATGTGATCTCGTGGGAATTTTATAAACGTGTAAATTTTATTGATATTGATTTGAATGCTAAAAGAGGAATTCGTAATATCAATGTTTCTACTGCATATAATAAATGATTCAAGATCCAATGAAGTTTGCTGTATTTTATAGAAAACTATCATTGGTATTACCTGAAATAAAATAATTCTGGAAATGGCAATATGAAACGATTTATCTATAACTCTTGAAGCAATCATGTGACAGAAATGAGATTAATCACTTCCGCAAAGAGGGGTAAACTGTGTCAGGAAATTGCTTCGTACGAAAGCATCACGTGATCGTAACTTGTCTTCTAGACGTATGGTGAGAAGATACGATGGCCTATACACGAGTTCTTAACATCGTAATGTTATGTCAGCAGTACACTTGTGTATCCTGTTTGTGGTGTTATATAAATGTTTAGGTAGTGGGATCATAAATATCGATTCCTCTATGGGTACTTCCTCAACCAATGGACGGCCAAATTGCTTGGGAAATTCAAGATTAATTGAGATGAAAACTTACTACGGGAAATTTGTTGAAGAATGACTTATTGCTATGGATTAATTATAACTTCCATTTATCAACAATTGGTAATATGCAAGATCAAAATGTATGCTAATTTTACCAAATTGCTCCAACAGATTAACTGATCCTCATATTATTAATTATGTTCAAGTTAGTTATGCTTTCAAGTCACAATAGTGTAATTTTGCTCTGAATAATAGCTGGGGCAGTTATTGTGCGTAGTAATAAATTGTTGCAATAAGTTGAAATAAAAGATGAAGCAGAAGGGTGCTTTTGTAGCCGCAGGTTAATAAATTTTAGCATTACTAGTAGATGAGAGCATTATTTTCCATTAGCATTACCATTACTATTGTACTTATTTTGATTATTTCCATTATTATTAATTCTGATTAATTAGGTGGTAAGTTTGCTATTTTTTCCACTCAAAGCTCTCTGCTGTCTTCCACCATCCAGTGGGTTGATGAATCAAGGTGTATTAAAATAACAAAAATCATAAGAACGAACTCATTAAGTCAGTCAAATTACTATCAACTTGAAAGGAAATATATTCAAATTTAGCACACCCACAATTATTCTACAGTACATTCTCCTTAATTAATTTTAAAATTACGGTATACAATCTGAATGAGTGGAATTATGTCAGAGAATAATACAATAATTCGAGATGAAGCATTTAATTAACTTAATTACAATATTTACCAAAAATAATTTAATCCAATATCTCATGTATTGCAGCTCAGAGATTTATTTGTGTACTAAATAGCTATAAGGAAGCATCTCAAGGAAGATCCTCACACCAGCAGAAGGATTAAAGTTTTAGGAGCATGAAATTCCTCGTAGAATGGTTATTAACAGAGCTAGGTAGAATTTGTTACCCTTTGTTGAATTTATAACGTCATTCAAAACATAGCTATATGTACTTAGTTCATATTACGGTTTCATAGAATTCATCAAAACCAAAACGGCCGCAGGCATTTAGCATTTTCAGTAAAGCTAAAACATGATTTGAGTGAAGACTGGAGGAGGTTGCGTCTCAATTTGAATGTTTCTCTGGTTCATTCATATGCATATAGTGCAGGAGCCAAACTATAAAACATACGTTATGTGTAGATTCATGAATAGCACACATTGACAACAAATACCAGTAGTTTTCCGTTGTTATGTTCTTGTGGGTTATAAGAGGATTGAATATACGGGTCAACTCCTTAAGGAGATTGCTTAGCCTGGATTTTTTCTCGACATTTCTAGGATTTAAAGTCTATCTGACGTTACGCTACTGTTATTATATGTATATATACTTATATATGAATCCTTTTCTCTTCTATATTTGTCGCTAGAGGCCATCTTGACGTTATTGTGATTCGCCGTTAGGATTTCACGATGCGGAAACTCTCTGGAGAATATCATGCTACCAACTTCACCGTAGGGATAATAGCAAGAATATGAATAGAACTTTAGTTGTACCCAGTTATTCCAAATCCAATTATTTGATTTTGAATACTCTTTTTCCTTTTGCCAGGATTATACCGAAAAACTGTTAGGAAGTTTGATTAAAGCTTGAGAATGGTAGATAACAGAACCTTTGTAATTAACATCATGGAATTGTTGAAGATGGGCGATCATCAGTGAAATTAGGTTGCAAACATTTTGATCTAACAGAAGAAGACTGATAATAATTTGATAAAACTCACCAATTGAATAGCTAGATCAAGAGTATCAAAGAATTGTCATTTCTGAATAGACAATCCATCATTTTTATCAGGAAAAATATTTAAAAAAGTTTAGTATTGTGTTTAGTAATGTAAACATAAGAGCATTAAAAATATGAGAATTTTACATTATATTCAATTCCTCATCCAGACTTATTGGCGTCCTCCTTTGTTTTCTTTACATTTTGTTTTAAACTTGGCATTTACTATTGAACCAACATGATAAAACATTTTTTTCTAATAAAACAAATATTTCATTTCACAAAATAAATATTGCTACTGTATTTATTAAATCATAGATAAAAAATTTGATTGGATTTTTTCCAATAATCATGAGACGAGTTAGTATTTATTCTAGTTATTTCATATAAATTTCATGTTAACAAATTTGGCCATAATTTAAACAATGTTGGTATAAAATTTGAATTTTATTAATAGAAAATTTTTATCTAAATTTTATAATGTGCACATACATTTATTAAAACAGGATTTACGAGTAATTTGAGTCCGTAATGAATCTGTAACCTAATTTTGCATCGTAATATCGAATATCAGGTTGTGAACAAACAGATAATAATTATTCGATCAATCAAAAACTCATTTGTTATTAAATTCTATCGGTGGATTTTAACGCTAAAAATATTGCATTTCATCGTTAACTACTATCTTAGTTTGAAGTATCATTTCATTTAAACTTTCTCTACATCATTATTCTAATTTAACATGAAACATTGTAATAATGATGATAGGAAAAATAATTAAAAACAAATAATCCACAAAGTTTCAGCGATAAATTCAAAAGTTTGATATGTTACTTGATCATTACAGAGACTATGAGAGCAGTAACATTCTGGATAACTTGCTTTCGCGCATGGAGCAATATGCAAATAACTTGGAATCACTGGTCGCTGAACGTACAGCTGATTATCTCGAGGAGAAACGTAAATGTGAAGAGTTGCTATATCAGCTTTTGCCAAAGTAAGTATAAACGATTGTACATTTAGAAGTAAATTAACCCAAACTATCTACCAGATCAACAATATTTTCATCATCAAACTTTCTTCATTTACTTTATTCCACAAGAAATATTTGTGATAAATTTATTTTTTATTTTCTTCATTTCTTAAAGTTATTTCCCTTGGGATTAGAAGATTTTCACTGAGCAATGGATGATAATTGGGATCTAGAGAATCTCTTCAGCTTGAAAAGGGATGAAATGGTCATGGGTTAAAACAAGATTAACAGAATAAAATATATCAGACTTTTTATGTCTAGATGTCTCAGCAAATACTTTATCTCCACGATATGACAGTTTATTATAAAATGCAACAGTACCATGAAATAATTTACCAGTCTACATGCCTCTAAATCAAATAGTCTGATTAATAGCTGGTAATACAAATAATTGCATTTCATTTTTAGCAGAAAAATATTGAGATATTTTTATTATCAAAATACATTGAATTTAATATTTCAAAATGTTATTTTTTGAAACACATGAAAGGTTAGATTAAAAAACTTTGTATTAAATCACAATAGTTGATTGTTTTATAACTAATCAAAAAATAGTTTGAGTTATTGATTAACTTGAAATACTTCTGATAGGTTTCTCCAATAGATAGATCACATTAGGTAGTTCGTTCGGTATAAAGCAACGAACACGGTAGCCCACAGCAGCAAGAAAGTTAACACCATCGATTGCACTTGCTAAAATTTGTAACAATAGTAGACATTTTTTTATTTTCCAAACAGAATTGATAAATATTTACCAAGTGTTAATAATGATTGTAAAAATCTATTAATGTCAAAATACCTTCAAATACTTTTTCACCCGATGGACTATTGTAGTTTCGAAATGATCGAGTCATTGCTTCCATTTCTTCTCCATTTAATTTATAGCATCTAAATTCACTGCCTGTACGATGCAACTCTATATAATGGTAGAGCTTAGCTTCAGGTGTAATTTGGAATCTACCTTCCATATTATCCTTGGAAACAATTAATCCTTTTTCTTTCAAATTTTCAACGTTACAAAAATAACGTATTTTTAGATTATTTTAATATACTAAAGATATAGTTTGATATTCTACGGTAATAAGACTGATATCTGAGGTAAATTTCGAGTATTGATTGATTATATCTAAATTTTGTTTTGAAATGTTGTCAGCAATGAGCCATTAACCTTGAAATTCCTTGCTGTTTACAGCCATTATTATTTCGCGAAATGATACACACATGAAATGAAAGAGTCTGAAAATGTTATTGATTAAATATTATTCAAGTGGTAAATTGTTTTATATTATTCAAATATGAACATAAATACATTGAAACTGTATTTATAAAGAGAAATAATGAGTTCTTGATATAAACCACGTGCCTTACAACACGTGGAATAAACACACGTCCATTAATAATAGTTCAGTAAAAATAATTGTGTTTAATAATTGAAGTTTATTGATATTGATTGGCTATTTCATCATTTTCTTTTGTATTGTTGTTGTTAATTTGGTTTTTGTTAGCTATTCATGAGTTCAACGTAAATGAGAGGGTGAACGTAACTCAACTTAATCGCCCAATTAAATCAGTACAATAGAAACTGAGAACTAAAATGCCAATCGATACTCGATTTTATACATATGAAGAAAAGACCCCATTCAGAGAAACTTGTCTTAAACCATTACTATAACAATGAATAAATTTAGATTGCTAGTAGTTTTCTTAATGTTCTTGTTATCTATCTATTATCAATTTGAATTCATTTAATGAGTAATTTAATTTTAATTCCAACTCAAAGAGAAATATATAAGAGATATGTATTTAATTGTTTTGCCATTTAATTCAATTATTTCAGCATTAAAAGTCTATAAATATCAATTTTGTGATAGTAAATTAATAACAATAAATTTCCAAAAATAGTTAGATTAGCTGGAGACTAATGCATACATTTAATTCTATAATTAAACTTAGGAAAATTATAATTTTATTCCTTCATTTAATTTTCTTACTTTATTTCCAATTACTTTCAGAGCTTGTGGCTTGTTATTTTTTTTTTTACTTCTTATTCCCAACAATCCACAAGAGAGCTATTGTTTTTTTCACCAGTGATTAAACGACGCTCGTTGCGGTGATGACAGCGACTAGTCTCATCTATTCTTTATTTTCTTTAAGCACAAGCAATTTTTACTTTCAAACGTGACTAGAGTTTCGTCCAGACTTTCTACCTCAACTGTCATTCCATTTAAAATTAATTTCACCAATTTCTATCACTCTTATTGTGTTCATTTTATTTTCCAGGTCGGTAGCTTCCCAGTTAATTCTTGGGCAAAGTGTCATTGCTGAAACTTACGATGAAGTTACAATTTACTTTAGTGACATAGTGGGTTTCACCAGTCTCTCAGCTGAAAGTACACCTCTGCAGGTGGTGGACCTTCTCAATGACCTCTACACATGTTTCGATTCAATTATTGAGAACTTTGATGTCTATAAGGTGAGAACTATTGCAATGAATTCAATTTGTTGAATTCACTTTCGAATTTTTCTTTGATAAAGTTCTTACGAAATAAGAAAACTTGTTAAAAACTATCCACATGTTTTAAAGAAACGATAGAAAAAGATATTGTGAACATTTGAACGATTTTGAAGAGTAAAATCCTACCTCTATTACTGCATTGAGTTTTTTTTTAGTGAAATACATTCTGAAAGTCTCTTTTAACTGTGACATTTTTCTATTTTTCAACAGCACTTTGATGTTTAAAAAATAGAAAATAATAAATAGAAAAATTTTAATTAAAACTGTTTCACATAGGAGTGGTTGATAAAGAGTTCTAGTTTCATGTCACTGTTTACAGTTATTGCATTACTTTATAGGAAGTCAGTTAATGTCGTAAAATTCTCCATATATGTACATAGTTTTCCATTTACAACTATTTTATTATTATGTGGAGCTATGCAGTGAATTAAAAATAAGTGTTGGCAATTTTGTTTACTCAACCAACTTCATATTCAATATCTTTTCATTGAATTTTGATGTTCATGATCCAACAATAGAGGTAGTTTTCTCGTCTATTGCATCTATATCAATTGTCTTGAATGGCAGTGGGTTCATTCGTTAAAGTGAACAAAATGCAATGAAAAGATGGAACTAATGAAGACAGAAAAATACTCAAGCAAGTTTGAAAACGAGAGCTCGATGAATTAGGTCAACTGGCTCGTTACCCTCTGCTTTCTCATTTTTTTTTTCTTCTGCTATTTTTATCGGTTATCGTGGAAATTTTATCTTACTCATATGTGTTAGTTGCATTGAGGTGACGAATGTAGTGGTGAATTTAATTTTCAAAACTTTATGTCATCAACTTCATCAACTCAATAGGTTCATTTTTCTATAGGAACAAAATTTTTTCCTGAAATCACATAAAAACACTTGACAGGGTATACCTCTTCTTTCATAATTAATATTCAAAATATGATTTTATTCATTCGCAAATGTGTCACATTCAGATAAAAAATATTTCATCATTTTATATCATGAGTTCATTTATTTATTAAAATTCACTGGATTTATATATTTTTATTTTATCAACGAGAACCTAAACATTAATCCACACAATTTCTGCTACTCATTCATACTGAATGAATAGGCGTTTTTATCATGAAATGAAAATAGGTAGAAAAGTGAGAAAAGATGAAAGACGAGATTATTCTTGTTACGTCATTATGTGATGTTCTGTCTTAAAAAACCAACATGAAATTCTTGTCAAAATTATTTATCAGATATGATCGAGCTTAACATTCTATTTTATCTCCTCTTGATGCAACTCAATGGACCAAAGAAAGCTCATGTGTCACAGAGTTTCTATACGAAACATTTTTGTACTTGGATGCAAGGATATTTTGGAGATAAATCAAAGCTTACGTGGGAGCGAAGGAGAAAGAAAAAAAAAGGCCAAGAAAAAAATGTGTAGGAGATGTAAATTCTAATGAAGAGTCCTGTGATATTCATTCAAATGGATATAAAGAAAGAAATAAATTGAAATGACAACAGACAAGACTTGTAAAGAGAATAATATGAGCAAGTAAAAGGGAGGTTTGAGAAAAAAAAAACACAGAAAATATTTAATATATTTTGATATTGTATATAAACTTTGGAATATTTGATTCAAATGATTTTAGATTTAAAATTGAACTGAGTTTAAACAGAATGAAAAATTTAATAATATTCTTAAATATTAAATTCAAGTTTGAATGTTAAACTCATTACATTAATTTTTAGTTGATGTGATAAAGTAATTGGATTGAATAAGCCACCATAATTATTTATCAAATAATTTTAATCTATCCAAAAGAAGTATAGTTAACATTAGTATTTCTGTAATAATAAATTTCACGCTTTATTTCATCTCATTACAAGCTCCAATCATTAACTGAAATTCAAAGCTTTCATGAAAATAACATGAAATTACATAAGCTGTAAATAACATACAATAACGTAAATCATTTTTAAGAGCCACGTGTATTTGCAATGACTAAAATTACCTAATTAAACTCAATTCTCTTGTCCTAATTTCATGATATAAATAATTTTATTTTACTAAAATAATCATAAAAATAATTAATTAAATATTGTATTAGAATGTAAAGTAAGACCACAGATTTAATTTCGCATGCATATTATCAAGTACTTAATGCAATAATCTTATTAGAATGTGCTAGTCAACCTTGACCTACACTCATACATTTTTTATTAATTATTTTAATTAATTCAAAAGTCATGGAATAATAACAGATAAAATGATTATTTTTTTTGTTCGTTATTATCCAGGTGGAAACAATTGGAGATGCTTATATGGTCGTATCTGGATTGCCAGTTAGAAATGGCATGAATCACGCAAGAGAAATAGCAAGAATGAGTCTTGCACTTCGTGACACTGTCATGACATTTAGTATTCGTCACAGGCCTAATGAACAGCTAAAGCTTCGCATTGGAATGCATAGTGGTGAGCTTTTATCATAAATCAATACATGTCACTTAATGAATTCAGCTTCAATTAAATTCAATGCGAATCGATTTTCCTAAGCGAGAAAGAAAAATTTTATTCCTTTTTTTCTCTATTCTTTTACTCTTGATTAACTTCAAAAAGGTATTTTTAATTGGTGTTTTCTAAGAGAAAGATCACTTTTTGTGTTTTTTTTTCATTCTGTTGGATATAAGAAAAATATCTTGTTCTATCAAAGTAAAAGTGCTAAAGTATCAGGTGGAAAAAAACGAAGAGGTTGACACCACTTCAGTGAGCTTTAATTTAAAAGTTAATTACTTTTCCGATTGGCTTGTGTTGGTAGTATGTGTTAAGTTAATATAGACGAAAGGGTATGAAAAAAAAAAGAAAGAAAAGTGATGAATTTATTTAAAAATTTTAATTTTATGTAAAAATATGACCATTTTTTTTCTCTTGTTGGACTAATTTAATTTTTCTAAACATCTCTAGGTAATTCAATTCAGTATCTAAATATTTACATATCTTTCCAGGGCCATGCGTAGCTGGAGTTGTTGGACTTAAAATGCCTAGGTACTGTCTCTTTGGAGATACAGTTAACACTGCATCAAGGATGGAGAGCAATGGAGAAGGTAATTTATCTCATGAAAACAAAAACCGTCAACGGGAAATATAAATATAATCCAATAATTTAACGCTGAGTGAATTTTATTGAAAGAAAGAGAAAAAAGAAATTGAAATGTAATTTTTCTTTTAATAAATATCGATTCACTGAATTGAGAAATCATAAAAACAAACAAAACAGTGAATATTCATTTTAAAATTTAAATTGAAGATTTATTTTTATCAACAGAAACTTAACTGTTACTATATTCCTACTTTCGGTTATTTTTTATTTTTTTTTATTCAATCATAATTTATTCAATTAGACTTTCAGGATGTCTACTGTTAATTTTTATGCAAATTTCTTCTTATCTTTACCTTATTTATTATGAACACAAAAATACACAAATTCTCTTTGTATCAATTTGTAGAGGAAACTTGTCTGTTTATCTAGAGAAAATTTAAAAAAAAAGGTTTTCAGCAGATTTCTCTTATATTTTAGTACAGTTAATTGGAGTCGACGTTTTTATAAAGCTACTAGGTATTAAAGGTCGCGTTAACTAATGAATACATCTGAAAGGATCTTTTGCATATGATGTACAAGTGTTACATCCTATAAGAGGAAAGTTTTGATGAATATGATAAACTATCAGCATCAAAGCTTATTTAGGAGAACAAGTGTTCACACTAATATCATCGATATTACTGAGCTTTAATCTTTTATGACCCAATTAACTCTGCTTTGTCTCCTGTGTTTACAGCTTTGAAAATCCACGTCAGCCCTAAGACTAAAGAAATACTGGATACTTTTGGAACTTTTGAACTCTGCTGCCGAGGGGAAGTCACGTTAAAGGTGATACTTTTATAGAAAATTGATATTTTAAAAAGATCATGGAAGAAAGAAGAGCAAAAACACACTCTTACCTTTTTCATACTATAATACCTGTTAAATATATTGGTAAATAATTTCCAATAGAAAAGTATTTGAATTTTTTATTAAATTAAAAACTCTGTTGAATGTTTAAGGAAATGAGAAAATTATAATTAAATTTTATCATCCGTATTTATTTCGTCTAGCTATCTCTCTTGGATTATATTTTTTTTAAGTTCAAAGATCTTTTTGTTCGATTGAACTACAATGAAACTCCGATATTTTCTATTTTAGAGAAATTAAATTAATATTACTCTATTTTAAAGTTGTTTATTCAATGCTTTTACTCACTTCTCTGTTGATATTTTTATAATTAGACTCTCTAATTACTATTTACATTGTAATCAAATTTGAGCTTTTACTAATGCAAGGAAAACTACATTCAACAAAATAAATTAGAATTTAAACTTGTTAAGAAATTCAATCATTTGAGTTTCATTAAAAAATTAATGGGTACTTGAAATTATTTATATACATATTTTAATGAAACTATAAATTTATTAGCATATTAAAATTTAACAACTCTGTCAATAACATCAGTAACACAGCAAAAACTGCTATTGATTTGAATTAGAAAAAAAATGTTCTAATTTTAATAAATTCAATATCTTTTTTTTGAATTTTATCAGGCTTTTTTCAGGCCTATATTGTGATAATCTTGGAGATGGCTTAATATTCTTAACGTGGTACTTAACTTTTATATACTCTTTGTCGATTTAGAGAACTTTATAAGAAGCTTCTTATTAACGAGTGATCTTGACATGTCGAAACTAACTTCCTCACCCTTCTGCTCTACTTCACCTTGTCGGATTGATCTTCTACTCAGTCGTCAAGTATTCTGTGGTGCGGGCACTCAATCCGACAAGGCGGAAATGTGGAATATCTCTTTCATTATTATTATTATTACCTTTATAACTACTTTCTCGTTCTAATTTGTAACAAACTTCTCTAGGGAAAAGGCAAGATGACGACCTACTGGTTGATTGGAGAGAAGCCCATCAATAACAATGTCCAGGAGAATACCTCGAGCACCACAAATGATCAAAACCCACAGCAGCAGCAACAACAGCAAATCCAAGGCCAAAATAATTGTACTCGTAACTCATTGAATATGACGGGAAATGGAGCACCCAGGAATCATTCACTAATGTTATCTCCTTCTCATCAAAGAAATTCCAACAATACAGCAACCACGCACTCCGGAACTGCAGTTCATTCAAGTCTTTCTAGTGATAACGTACCAAATCATGCGGAAAGTGGAGCAAATACTCCTCTTCTGTTGTCAGCAGGATCGATTCCTAGGGCTTAAATAAGACTGCTCGTAATCAAATTGTCGGCAACTGTCACAATGAGGTGCAGGCACTTCTGCTACTGTGAACACATTAATTCAACGAGTGAAAGAGATAAACGAACGCATGAACGATTGAGAGAAAAAGGGTTTGATGGATGATTACTTGAGTTGAGGTGAGTTATTGAAAGTTAGTAAAAGATTAAGATGAAAAATGAAAGAGGTGACCTATGGTCTCATGTTTACATATTTAAATTAATTTATGTTATAATGAGATGAGATAAAGATGTATTTAGGATGCAGAGAAAAAGTTATCGATCAATTTAAATTTTATTTATAAATTTTTTAAAATATATAGACTCAACGAATACTCACAGACGAGAAATAAAAATGGATCAATATAGTATATATATATATTGGAATGTTGATAGTTTATGAAAAAAAAACTTTAGTTAATAAAGAAAAATATAAGTTTTGTCTTAAAGGTGCTGAACCATTCCCATGATAAATTATAGGGTTTCTATAATAGTTAAGAAATCGTTTAGTAGATCGATATTAATGTTGATATTCTTAATAGAAATTTCTTTTAGTCGTTTATTATTTACGTGATAAGATTAGAAAAGAGAAAATGATCTCGGTACAAAAGGAATACCGGGACCAATTTTACCAATAATTATTGCTATAAATCAATCACAAAAGATTGAAAGAGGGAGGATGAAGTGTATAGAAGATAAAAAGACAAGATAAATTGTTCAAGTTGAAAGAAAAGTCGAGAAGGTGCTAAAAATCTTGACAAATCGTATAGGAAATCGCACGGGAGTGACTGTTCGAGATTAATCGATCGTGTACAAGCGATAGGAGAGTATTCTCCTTTGAGCGCACAGTGAGCCATCGAATATACTAAGATAGACGCATACAAGACAGTATTATATATATCTACTCACCTTTGTCTACTCTATCGATTGCTTCAAAGAAATTCTTCCTGTCTCATTTGTTTCAATCGAATTCACCCTTTGATTATTAATTTTAAATAATTACCATCTGATCGTACAGCATGTGATGAACTTGCGATCACAAAATATTATTTACATTGAGATTAAATATTGTAACTCCATAGGATCTATTGATCTATCGATCTATCTTTAATAATACGATTTTAAATAATAAGATAGCAAGAAATTTTATTAGTTTTAAATGTATACATGGAAATTTAAATAATTTCAATAATATATTAGGTTATTATTATAATAATAATAATATTAATGTATATATACACAACAATGTCTATGTATACAGGAAAAATAGAAAGACAACAGACATTAATTATTAATACATTGAGAAATGATTGACGTTTATGTTATAATAGACTGTTATATATTGAGGCTGGGCCTCTTTTTTGTGCGGTTGAATGTTATATTCTATTGAATGTATGCTGAGCGTGTGTCTGACAGGGTGAATTGTCACTTAAATGTTTTGATGTGCTAACATGATATATAATAATGAAAAATATAAAGGCACAAATCCAGCTGAGTGACAAGAAATAGTGCAAATAGACGCTCGAGTTATCAAAAAATGGACCGATACTTTAAATGTGGCAAGAGTGCAATTATATATTTATCTCAAGACAAACTCTTTTAACGATGTAATAATGATCAATATTGCTGAAATAAAGTTTAATTGTTTTTGAATATTTTTCTTATCTAAAGTATCACATTCATTTGAGTTTTTAGAATACTGCATTGGCGAATATCCAGTCAAGAAAGGCATTGACTCGTGTATAAATACCAGGTTGTCCAGGTTCACCACAACGCATTCCCCAAGAAACTATGCCGATATTTACCCACCGACCATTCCCTAATTGGTAAACTAGAGGTCCGCCAGAATCGCCCTAAAACCAATTCAAATCAGTGAAAAAATTGTTCATGAAAATATCAAGGTATATTTATGAAATTCGTTTAATCAATCTCAATAAAAAAGTCATCAAATTTGAATATTCAATTAGATAATGCCATGTTTTATTTCTTGTTTCACTAAAATTTATCAAGTTATTATAACATCACATTATTTCATTTATTTAATTTATTCCTTTGAGAATAATAAGAATTTAAATAGTAGTATCACCATTTTTTACATTTCTCTTAACTTTTATTATTCTTTAAATTCATATTTTCTGTTCAAATATTCTTTATATTTTAAGTAAATAAACTGGTATTGATATAACAGTAATTTTTTTTTATCTGAAAACCTTACAAAATGTTCTACATAACTGCATTTACAAACTTCATGATTCATGAATAATGGAAAAAAAGTTTTACAAAAGTTTAAATCATTTAAATTACTTTTATATCAGTATGTTCCAATATTCCTTACACAATTTTTATGACTTCCTATCACATAATTAGTAAATCCATTTGATTTTTTTCCTTAATCAGACTTACCTGACAAGAATCCTGACCACCTTCATAAGCTCCTGCACACAAAACGGTGTCCGGAAGATCCCGACCCAAACTTTGGACGCACCTGTTGTGAGACCACACTGGTATGGATACTTCCATCAAGATTGAACTCGACGGACCAGCGTAATACTGACTACCCCATCCTGATCATTGATAACACATACACACATTAACCAAAGTAAATATATCTTTTTTATTTTTTATTTTACTGGCAAATGGGATTTACAACCAATGTTCGATTGGTATCATCAATACATGTCCAGGACATTAATTTGTCTAGATTGTCATACTGATTCTGGTGTACTGAAAAAGGATGTGTAATAGGTGTGTAATTAGAGTTAAAATGGGATCGAAATATTGAGGTCTCTTATTGCCTACCGGGCTTTTGCAATGAAATACGTGCTGTGAAAGCGTCGAATGCCAGTTATTCACTTCGTTAACTGGAATGTAAGCACAAATTATTCTCGTCTTTCTGTGCTAAATGATAATGCTTTTCCTGCGTTAATACAGTCGGAAAACTCAGCGAATGTTAAACGACCTGATTTATTTAGTACGGTGGGTACGCATGAATGGACAGAGTTCCATCAATAATCATGAAAACCAAATCGTATTTCAGTAAAGACCGATAAAAAAGATATAAATATTTCTATTCAACGATAGTATCATCATTTATTTATGATACGTACCAGTGACTATTGCATTTTTATGTTCAAATAACTTGTCCTCTGGCGGTAGACAAATCGGCCAAATGTAGTTGTTGAAAACCGTTGGTCGATGAATTTTTAGAATGGCAATATCGTTGTCATAACTCGATGGATTGAATTTTTCATGAATCCTCATATTAACGACTTTGAAATCCAAAGCACGATGTTCAGTCTTTTGGGAAAAATCATACTCGCCTAATCTTACAATGATATCCCTTTCAGAGATCCTAGAAAAAAAATTTCATCTAATAAGTTTTTGTTTATCATCTTTTTTATGTTTTAAATTATTTAAATATTCATTTTAACACATATTCTTTCACTGTTTCTATTTTATCATGTCTTCATAAGCTGACAGGTGAACTAGAGACATTAAATGACACATAATGTATGTGTTTTGGAACTGTAATATTTGTTTTATAAAATTTTTTATCACCAGTTTACTTAATTGGTAAGTAAATGTCATATTTTGAATGTTGTTTTAATGATTATGATCAATGTATAGAATTCAAGATGAACAATTAATTTTTACATATTTATTTATTAGTGAAATTAGTTGATCAAGTTTCAAATTATATAAACGTGAAATAACTATAGTTTGATAGTCGTAAACAACAGGAAGTCAGAAGATTGATGACTCATTGCTGACAACACTTTGAAATAAAATTTAGATTCATTATTACTCGTAGTGCGATTTTAGTAGCACCATATTAGTAACGAAAGTCATCAACAATACTGATTAAAACATAAAGTATATTTGTTGAATTCAAATCGAGTACGTAGTTTATAAAATTTCACAAGAAAAATAATCAACTCAAGAAGATTAAAGTCGATAGTGCATTTTCTATTATGTCTTTTACTCCTCCTGAAGAAGTTTCTCTTGACGTTGTTACTGAAGAATCTACTCTTGCAATTCGTACTCCCGAAGAGTTTACTTTTGATCAGTGTTCTCTGATAGATTCTCTTCCTCTAGATACTCTTCTTTTGGATCCTCCTAAAGGATTTTCTGGTAGAGATTCTTCTTCTAGAGGAGCTTCTCCTAGAGGAACCTCTCCAAGGGGAGCCTCTCCTAGAGGAACCTCTCCAAGGGGAGTCTCTCCTAGAGGAACCTCTCCAAGAGGAGTCTCTCCTAGAGGAACCTCTCCAAGAGGAGCCTCTCCTAGAGAAACCTCTCCAAGAGGAACCTCTCCAAGAGGAGCCTCTCCTAGAGAAACCTCTCCAAGAGGAGCTTCTCCTAAAGGATTTACTGCTGAAGAATCTATTCCCAAACCATCTACTGCTGAAGGATCTATTCCCAAAGAATCTGCTCTTGGAGAATCTACTTCTAAAGGATGTATTCCTAAAGCAGTTACTGCTGAAGGATCTATTCCCAAAGAATTTGCTCTTGGAGAATCTACTTCTAAAGGATGTATTCCTAAAGCATCTACTGCTGAAGGATCTATTCCTAAAGAATCTGCTTTTGGAGAATCTATTTCTAAAGGATGTATTCCTAAAGCATCTCTTTGTGAAAGATGTATTCTCAAAGAATCTGCTCCTAAAACATCCACTTCTAAAGAATCTATTCTCAAGGAATCTGCTCCTGAAGAAACTACTTCCGAAGAATCTACTCAACAAGAATCCTCTCCTGAACAACCTATAGTTCGGGAGACTGCTTCTGGATTACCTATTATTCGAAAAACTATTTATGAAGCACATAGTTTTCCAGATTTTTTTTCTGAAGATTTTTCTCAATATGAAGACGCTCCTAGAGCTAATCAAAGGTATCATCAGGTAATGTTGGTTGGTAATGAGGATGACTTCATACCTTATGGATTAACTCCAGATGAATTGCAAAGACTGGGTCCATTACGTACGTATGATGGATATCCTCCTGCCAATGAGATATTAATAAGAGGTATTTTGACTTCTGAATACTTTTTATAGTTATTATTATTATTTATACAAAACTCAATAAAGTGACGAGAACATTATTTAAAATTTCAGGACCAACAATTATAGGTATCAGCTCTTTAGGTCACTTGGGCTACCATGTTGTTAGTTCATGTCGTAAGAAAGATTCAAATGATGTCATCTGGGTGCTGGAAAAAGTTATCGACGATCTTTTTAAGCCTCCTTTAAAACCCACTGAAATATTGTTTTCAGTTTAGAGTTCGAAAATTAAAATTGAAACAATTGTTGTCATGCAGTAAATAATAATTCCATGTCATTTTTAATTTTGATACCGTAAAAAATGTGTCAATAAATATATTTCGATTTCATAAGTATTCCAAATGTGTCTTTATTATTCTTATCACTCGTTATAAAATTTTTTTATATAAAAAATGAATTTATATTTTTGAGATAGAAAATATTACGTATTACGATATAACCGAAAATTCTCGTAAATACCCGAACGATTCCGAAATCTTCCGAATTAGCGAATGCGTGAACTATGTAAACATACATAAAAACAGCAAACTTCGACACATTCGGATTATCAAGCAGTATAACGATTTCTATTTTGAAAATATCTGTAATTGAAAGGAATTCAAAAGGTTTATGACTCATGGCTGACAATATTTTGGAATAAAATTTGTATCAAATCAATCAATAATCGAAACCAGCCTTAAATTGATCGACATTATCATTCTAGAATATATATGGCGTTCATTGTAGCCATTTTGTGAAACGTGCAATCTTTTTGATAAATTCAAACGAATTATTAATCACATCATAAAAATTATCAAGAAAAAGAAATACTTATTTTGAAAGGTAAAATAAAAAATATACATATTTAATCATGGCTGGCTCCACACCTAGATTTCGTTACCTCCAAGTCGTTGGTGAAGAACATTATTTTGCGCCATTTGGATTGAATGACTATGAATTAGCAACCATTCGTGAATATTATACTCAAATTGAGCCTCCACGCAATGGAGAAATTACAACACGTAATTAAAATTTGATATTTTTATAATGATCATCTATTTATCACATCAAGTGATTAATTTTATTTTTAATTCCAGAACCATCGATCAAAGTCATCAACATTCTAGCTAGTCTGGGCTACCGTCTTGTTGCTATGACTCAGAAACACGATTCAAATAAGGTGATCTGGATGTTAGAAAGACCTTTATGAAATTTTCTACTATCATTGTAATTATTTTCTTTCTAATTCTCATCAAATAGAATAATAAATAACAATATAAATATATAATTACTTTAAAGTTTTTTAATTCCAAAAGATCTTGGTAATTTTTTATTTGTTTATAGATCCGTTAAATAGTTGTGACTTTTACGAAAATGTGATTGAAATTAATTAATAGAAACTTTGAAAATTGTGAAGATTGAATAACAATAGAACCTGTTTCACTTAGAAGCACTTTGTTAGATCAAAGACGCATTAGTTACATCCAAGTGATATTTCCATAACAAAAGGGTAGAAAGATGGGAGAAAGTCTACTGTCTTGATAGCACAGTGACTTGTGCTAGAACCAGAAAAATATCCACGTACGAGTATTGTGTATTTGTGTCGTACATTAGATGCTGACTTCAAAGATGAGCTCCAAGCTGGGAATGAATAGAATATTCGATGGTGGCACGCGGCATGAAAACTTTTTCAAAACGTTCTTCTCATGAACGCTCGTGTAAACCGCGGGCCACTTATTTACGTCATTGTCATTTCCATTGTGGGATTTGCTACAATCGTGTTTATGTGAATTCGCCAAATAATAAGGTAAAAGTCATCGAAAGAGACTTTCCAGTGTATTACAGACTGCTAACAACTTTCATATAATCTTCTAATCATGTGTTTATTTGTTTACCTAGTATTTTAGTTAATTACTATTATTTTTTGAAAAATAAAATATTTTCTCTCACCTATAAAGACAATGAGCTGCAGTAAGAACATGTCTATCAGTGATCAAAACACCACCGCAATATTGTCGAGATCCTCTTCTAATGAGTGCAACCATCCAAGGCCACTCTTTGGGGTCAGCTGGTTGTCCACCTACTACTCTTGTTCGACTTTTAGAAGCCATTCCGCAACCTCTAGGACCTCTTGGCTTTCTCAGTAAGTTATCAGTTAAATTGCTCGATAGATTATCTTTATTTAACTTTACTTTTTCTTCAATTATCCCGTTATCACCTGAATTATAAATTTCAAACCTAATTAATTATTTTATTATTTCAATGAAGTTTGAAAAAATTTATCAGCCTTTTGATGAAAGTATTAAACTATCAATAAATTATTCATTGATTGATTAATGTTATTTAACAAAGAATTAAAAACGTAAAATTTTTGTTCTGTTTTTTGGTGTAAAAAATTTTTTTCCACTTTTTTATGGAAAGTTTCAACTAAATGAAGCCACTCACGAGTCATATCAATGGTAACAGGGTCAACATGTTCAGAACTAGCTTGTCCAGATTCAAACAATGATACTGTCAACAGATGAAACAACATCATCACCGCAACTCTCTCTCGTGTATGTTTTCTCATGTTTTTTTTCCTTTCATTCAACGCTGTTTCAAACTCACAATTGATTAGCAGTGGTGTAGTGTAGGGTTGTTATTCTCCAGTTCACTTGTTATTGTTTCACGTTTAAATAAATTTCTCTGTCCTTTACACTTTGAAACAGACGAATGAAGCCAAAATACGAGAGGATAGGTGCTTATATAGTAAGCTTATACATGGGTGTAATCTATTGCTTTCGTCCCCGCTAGTTTACAAGTTTCTTCAGTAGGAAACTGAAAATGTCTGACGTCCACTTTCACACCTACGATTTCAAGTAACTGGACCTATCATTTTATCTTTAATCCTCTCCTTCTAGCAAGTCATCTTGACTTGGAGTATCATGCAAGTACCATCTTTTAACCTACAGTGCATTGATCTTTGTTTTGACATCAAGCATCATCAATGTCAGTTTTTGAACTTGATGCATTTTAGCTGAATCATTTTACAAATTATTTTTCTCAATATTACATCGACAATTTAATAATATTTTTTATTCTTTTCTTTACAGTTGTCAAACGAGTTTTTTTCGTTAATTTTCTACCATAGGATCCTGGGTATACCCAACGAGGTAGAAAATGAATCTACTTTCACGCGAAAATTTTTCAAACGTCAGTGTTGGAGTTTGTAATGGAGTGAGAATCCTTTTTATTTCAAGTATTTCACTATTTCAAAGCTAACTCGACAATTTCTTGACCCTGCACGTTTTCTCCTTCACTTTTTTATATTTGTCCTTTTTTTTTATCTAGAAAATTAAAGTCTTTCTTCACTAAGTGGATGTGCCAAACAGTGGCATGAATTCTGTAAATGTCAACGAAAGACCGAGAAAGAAGAATGAAATGAGAAGACCTCGGGGTCCAGTTCACACCTTTGAGAAAACACCCACATGCTTAACACGTCGCAGACTGGAATTTTCACGAGAAGAAGGTAACGGGGTCTTGACGTACGTGTTTTACTGTCATTACATATATTACATTCTCATCTTCTACTCCCAATATGTTTCGTGATTTTTTTACTCACGAACAATATTCCATTTATTTTGTACATCGCCAACATGAAACTCTAAGGTATAGCGTGTAAACTAATCGGACAATTTCAAAGCTCATGCGACGAATAAAAAGAAAACAAGAATTTACATGAGAGAACAGTCACGAAGTCTATTAACTGACTCCACTGCTGTGACCCACAGTCAGCTAGAAATCAATCGCATTTATTATTTCAACTCGACAGTTAGGCTGTAGCTATTTTCTACTCACGTATTATGCCATCTATTACTTTTTAACAATAAGAAAATCAGTCCATGAAAATAGTCAGCATGAAAATAACCGCAACTTCTTCTCTATTCATGACAATTTTTTACCAGACTTTTTTCCCAAACATATTGTCTCTATTTCTATACACTTTAATGGAAAAATTCCATTTTTGAAATATGTTTCTTTTTTTATTATCATACACATAGCAAAAGTTGTGTTACGCGTAAATTAAAATTAGAACAAGGGATTATTTCACTGCAAATAAAATCGACGAAACCAAAGTTTTAATCCTGAAATCGATATAACAATGTTATCAAGCAGATTAAAAGACTAAAACTCTTACATAATTTTTATTCATAAAAATAAAAAGCAAATACTTTTAAAAATAAATATAAATTTTAATTGATAACATGAATATATTAACTATACACTTTATCAATATCTAAGTAAAAACTTTCTATAACAATAAATTTAATTTCTCTTTCTCTAGAATTAAAATGAACTAACAAAAAAGTTTGCATTCATCATCTTATTTTTTTTTTCTTAAACATAAACATATATATATATTTTTATAATATCTAAAAAATAAATATAATTGGATACGTCTAAGAAAATGAAGATTTTTAACTGTAAAATATTCCATAATTACTGTTTATAGAAAATATTCGATTATTTATGGAGCTTCTTATTATCATTCAGAATCTTTTACAAAGAATTGATGATTATGGTGATAGATAATTCTTTTTAATTTTAAAAACTTGTTTATTTAATAATTAATAGACGCCTGTTCTATTTTATACTATTTATAAATTCTGTGCTCCTTTTTTGATTTTTATTGTATATACTGGTTTCTCGATAGTATTTCAGTGAGTATAATCACTTTCAGATTTACGACTAATATTTTTCACCAACAGTAGCAAGAACTCCTCCTATAGACCTTGTCTTAATAATTATCATTAACCGTTATGTCTCTATACCATCTAGAAGATCCTCCTACGCTTTGAAATGAGAATTCGATCTCTGTAATATTTTATTATGCTGATAAAAATTATTTAGATCAAATACAGCCGATGGATATCTAACAAAATAAAAATAAATTAAGGGTAACAAACAAATCAGAACTCAATTATCAACCAATCTATTCATTATCAACAAATGTATATCAAGTAATATTTTTATTTAATTAGATCCACGGAATTTGATATGTTAATAATTAATTCTTGAAAGAGTAATCGTAGGAAAATGATTTTAACTAAATTGTATAAGTTTCTTAGCTTGATTACCTCAATCAAATCAGTTGAGAATTGTGTGATAGATTGTGTTCATTTATGTATATGAGCAGATTGAAAATCTTGGCACGCATTGAGGGTGTCACGCAAAATGTGTGCTTGCCATGGCCTCATTGTAAGTCATAAAAGACATTCGCTGTTAGACGATAACCGATAAGTGTGTCGAGATGTAGTTTATGGAAAGATACAGAATATAACGCCCTTACTATCCAGACCATGTAGAACGATGATCGCATTCTAATTTATATTCTCTATCAGTTCGGAAATTAAATATTAAATTTTTCTGTTAAAAATCAAGAAAATAATAAAAATACGGATGTTATTAAATTTGATCAGATAAGCATATTTAAAGTAAACTTTATATCGAGTAAGAAATATTTTTATGGTGACAGAAATGATTAAAATGCTGTGTTGTTTTATGTTTGTTGAATTTTTATGTTCACGTTGGAAGGGTCGGGAAAAGTGCGAAATTTCGTGTCGACCACACGCTGGTAAAGTTTATAGCTACGGGTTACATTGGTTTTCTCTTCTTTATCTCATGTGCTTTCTCTCTTCAAAACTCATGAGGGTCCAGTATCTCTTACACATACACCATAATTCCAGCTTGAAAACTAGTGTCGTACTTCGTGCAACCATTTTAATGGATGCTATGAATTTTTTAGCTCACGCAAAACCCGATCTTCGTGATCATACACACGACAGTGACAAAATGCTAAGGGCCTGAAGGTAATTAATAATTTCCTGATAGTCTTTATATAAAAGAGGAAATGAAAATAATCTCTTAATGATTATATACCTCACAGTGTCTAAGGGTGTATTTCATATTTTTATACATCTTAAATGATTAATTGAAATGCTAATAATAATGGTATTAGAAAACATAAATTTATTACTATCAGTTTATCTACTCAAGAGAATATATGAATAATAATTGCAATTACTAAGAACATCAATTACATACGTTATTAGTAACATTTGTATGTATATCGTTAAATTATACCATTGACTCCAATTAATTTTACAAAAACAAATTCGCCATTTAAAATATTATATTGATTGTTTCGACATATATATGCTATTAAATAAATAAATGATATTCTTGAAATCCATTCACGTTGCGCCAGGTTCACATCGATAAATATCAAAGACTTTTGTATCTTCTTCTTTACGTTTTTCCAATTCTCAACTCAGCGAATACAGCAAGCTTAAGTCAAACAATTTCTTGTCCGATAACTTCCCGGGCGGCAAAGTAGCAGCAAAACCACTTCTTGCCACGAGTCCTAACAGCCATCTCCTTTCGCTTCTCCCTTGAATACACTTTTTTTATCCTTTTCCCAAGTAGCACTGATGTGAACGCTTAAGATTCACCCGAAGTCTCTCTTTATTTCTTCTCTCTTTGCGTCCTCACACGCCGAGAAAATTCCAAATGCTCAGCACGCGTCTACCGTCCTTCTTTACTTCTCCGCGTGACCAAACATTCTATCTTGTTATATTGCTGGTAGGATTTAACTCAAAGTGGTAAATAAATCAGAAATATTTTTTAATTTCCAGTTTATTGAGTTACCTTCAGATAAAATGTGTCCTCGTATTGGTTTGATTATTTCTTTTCAGCCAAAAAATTACTTATGTAATCAATAAATCCTTTTTTTTTTATCTCTTCAGAGATGATGATGCAGAGACTTCAAAGCTAAAGTCCTTTTTCGATTCAATTTATTATTTATATGATATTTTAAAGCTATTCAATAAGGTAAAGTTCTTAAATCATCAGGATCTTTATAGCTTTTGTGATACTTTATATATTCATCTGTGAGAAAAATTAATTTGTTTTTTTTTAGAGTCTGAAAAATGTCTCTCATAAAGCAGTTTGTAGCATTTGCTTCCAAGTCATTGAAAGATCTTGAAGGTAATTCAATAAAAAAAAAAAAGCTTTCATTAGAGGAAAAGAGCTTGTTAATATTTCTCAACAAGAGCTGTAAATAATGTATTATTTCACCAATTTTTCATTCCAATATTTTCGATCAATAATTCAAAAATAAATGAATAATGAATTGTTTTTCATCATGAAATTGATAGCATTGATCTCAATAATAAATGAATCAATTTGCATTATTTTATGAATATGAGTAACTGGACTAATTATATTTGTTTTGATTCTTATTCATATAGATGACTAATACACGTTTTGTTCTCAATTAATACAACTCACGACGTCTCATGCTGTGTTAAGTGAAACTCATAAACGTTAATCTCATTAGTTAACGTTCAAGAATTATTCCCATTGGTTCGATCAGCCGTGCAAATCGTATCGGATGACTTCCGGTATTAGCACTTCGGGTTGTTTTATTCTTTGTAATTAAACACATCTTGCTGTATGTACTTTCTATCAATGCTAACACTTGGTAGTAATTTTGAGATTAAACTCTTAATTACTGTCACTTATTTTATTGACTTGGTTCCAAAATTAGAATTTAAATGGCTTTTATTTTTATTTGTGATTCAATATCACGAAAAGTATTGAAGTTGTTTAAAAGTTTTAGAACATTCAATGAGTAGAAAAAAGAAAACTTTATGAAAAGTTTATTGGAGTATGGGAAATAAGAAGGAACTCACTTGAATTCAATCAACATGCTTGGATTATTAACTCAAGAATAACATTTTTGGTTGGAATAAATTATTTGGAAAAATAATTCGCTCTGATAATTCAGCCAATTATATTTAAATTGTAGAATATGTAAATGAGGCATTGGATTGTTATGGATAGAATAAAACCAAGAGAATTAATTGCATAAAAGGAAAAACATTTATTAATCAAAAATATTATACATAAAATCATTATACCAATTCTAATTAAATCTTCCTGGGGGACCATCACTTACTTCATTACTTTTCAATTCACAATTTAAATTAGGAGAAAGACTACATTCATATTTTGTAATTGTAGTTTTGTTTGTTGTTGAATCATACTCAATTATAGTTACGTATCTCACATTGTTAATTACATTCTGGATTATAGTTTTATCAACACGGTGTCCATTAACATATTGGGAAGTAGAACTTGTCGAAGAACCACTTACGATATAAGTTATTCCGTTAAGATCTGGAAATAGTTTCAAAGAAAATTAATCCAAATTCTGAAATGCGAAATAAAGTCAATCGATTACCAATATATGCTGGAAGTTCTGAAGTGAATGCATCGATTCTACTTAGAACAACAATCATTCTTGGTTGGTAGTTCAATTATAAATATAAATCAAATTCTAGCCAATAATGCTTTCACTTCAAATTCGATATTTTTATCACAGCTTAAGGTGGAATTTAATGAATATAATGCTAACCTTGGATTCCATTTGTTCCATTATAAGCAACTTTGCTTATTTGCTTCAGTTGTTTTTCTAGATTTTTTTGTGAATTCTGTAATTGTTGTCCAATAGCTTTGAATGTTCTATCCATTTGTTGTTGGTTTTGACGCATGTCTTGAGTCATTTTTTGCATATCTCGTTGAAAATCGGCCACCCAATCTGGAGTAGGAGCACATTGGCAACTATAGATGATTCTAGAATTTATTTTCATTCAATTATAATTAATTGAAAAAAAATTTCAATTTATTCTTAATAATATTAAAAACATTTATTGCATTAACTTACGTTATTAAAACGAAGATTAACATGCTCAACTTCATGGTAAATGATGAGTAAATGCTTTCACAACACTTGTGAATATTAGTATAAGTACACAGTTTAATGTATTGTAATGATTATTTTGCGTGACTGATCACGAATGTTCTTGAAAATCCACAGCAACAGCTTTTATTTTATCACTGAACTGCGTTACACTTCTCATAATACCCCCATCTGTTACCCAAAAGTGTTTTTTCTCTGTTATCTTTCACACTTTACAAAAAAAAATTCAATTTCACTTCAACATGGGTACACTAAGAATGAATCATTCCACAAAATTTTTATATAAAAAATAGTAAAATGATAGACTACAATTTCCGCTAGCTATTTAGAGTTCATGTCTATTTTTGTTTCTAGTCTACTGCGCAGTAATTGAGATAATTATTAAATTATTTAATTACTGAGAAAAGAAACATCGAGTCTGTATCTGTAAATGAACAATATAATACAAAATGGAAAATTTTTTTTAATAATAATTTTTTCCAGTAATACATTTAAATCAAAGAAAAATCTAGCCAAGTCAATTTCGTTAGAAGAATTGATTATAAAATATTTTTCAGTTAGCTGTTATCTTTTGACTTAATTCTTAATATATGAAAATCATATGTATCAACACTTCTGTCTTTAAGTAACTTCAAGTTATCATACCTAATTAATATTAACGATTTTATTGATACAATTGTCCAAACTAGACTCTAAATACTATTGAATTAGCGAATTATGATCTTTAAATGCATTCCAAATAACAGAATTATTTAATGAAACTTAGATAATTAATCCGAATTTAACAAAGTCCTGTGAAATCCCAAACTGTAAGTGAGAAATAGATTACTCGTCATGGCACCAAATCTCTGAGAAGTTTTGCTAATGAGACTTTGTAAACAATCCAATCCTTCATTTCCTCACTGCTAAAATTTAAACCACGGCTTTGAATTTAAATTTAACTAGAGCTTTTAATCCTAATACCAACAAGAAAATCTACTACAGTTATTTTTTTCTAATAAAAAATCGTCATTAGTGTGATTACGACTTCCTGTCGAGTTATTCGTCATGTAAATATAATTGTTAAGACGATTCATTTGCCTTGATGTCAAAATAATCGGTACAAGAACATGAATTGGTAGTTTGTGTCAACATTTGTTTAAATTAAAAACCGACATTTATCAAATTATTTTTTTATATGGTTAATTAACCTTGATAATTGCCTTATTACCATCAGTTAGGTATACACTCATCCATCGATATCAGTAAAAAAATCTGGTCTGAGAGATAATGTTATTGGTATGATAAAAGAGTAAATAAATTTTTAAATATTATCTGAGTTTAAAAAATATTCGATTTAGAAGTTACTTTTTGTTCGTTTATTATTGTTAATGACTCATAAGTATTTTTTTTCAATTGCAGAACCGTTGATGTGTTGGTAGAATAAAATTTTTGAAGAATCAATATGACTATGAACAGAATAAAGCTGAACAAAGTTGATTAATATTTTTCTATGAAATATAAAAGTGTTAATTCTTATCAATATCAAGTTATTTATTCGATTATGAGGCTTTTTCATTACATGAAATAATTGAACACAACTTATTATATCATTTAAACTTTATTTCTTTAATCAAAAAATTTTCTTTTAATTCTAACATCAAGAAGATTAATTACAACAAAGAAATATTTTAGTAATTATTAGTTTAACATGAAATCATTTTGTGAATAATAAACGTTTGTTGGGGGACCATCTTTAACTTCAGTACTTTTCAAGACACATGGAGAATTAATGGGAATTTCACATTTGTATTTTTTAATTTCAGTTTTGCCTGTTTTAGAAGTATAGTCAATTACGGTTCGTTCTCGAATATTGTCAATGGTTTTGTCATTAACACGATGATATACATGAACTCCATTAACAAAATAATTATTGAGAGGGAATATTGAACCACTACCGGCTGAAAACAGTTCAAAAAAAGACATTAATACCAATTCTAAAAAATGAAGCAAATTTTTATCAAGTATAGTTAATTATTGAAAGTGTTGGAATCAAAGTACTAATTTGGAGTATGAGATAAATAACTGTTGGTTTGGAACTAATTATCAAATATGAGTAGGGAATTGATGATTAATATTTTATTTCACTTTCATATTTTCTATTTCAGTGGAATGCAAGATAAAATTTAAACAATACTAACCGTTTTGACTTGCTGTTTCTAATTGTTCATTCATTTTTCTCATATTTTCTTCTCTTTCTAATCTTTCTGCTTCCCTTCGCTCATCCATTTTTCTCATATTTTCTTCTATTTCTAATCTTCCTGCTTCCAATCGCTCATCCATTTTTCTCATATTTTCTTCTATTTCTAATCTTCCTGCTTCTAATCGCTCATGCAATTGTCTCATTTTTTCTTCTCTTTCTAATCTTCCTGCTTCTAATTGTTGGTTTCTTCTTTCTTCATTTTGATGCAATCTATTTTCCAAATCTTGCATTTGCTGGTTGAAATTTTCACTCCAATCTGGATACGGAGCACATTGGCATCCATAAATAATCCTAGAATTAATATTTATATCGTTATTGATAATTAAAGAATGTTTAAAAACTAGACAATGTTATAATCATGTTTTTCAAATAAACTTACGTCGCTAAAACAACAATCGCAATACTCAACTTCATGGTAGATGATGAATAGATGTTCTAATGACACTTACGTATATTATTAAAAATAAAAATATCTTGTACTGTAGTGTGACTAATCACGAATGTTCTGGCGAATCTTCAACAACAGTTTATATTTCATCACTGAGCTGCGTTATACGTCTTGTATACCCCCATCTACGGCCCAAAAGTATTATCTATATCAACTTTTATATTGCGTAGAAATAAAATTTAAATTTAACACTCCATATAGATACAGTACTAACGAATCATTCTACGAAATTGTTATACACACAATAGTGAGCTTCTGATATGCTACAATTTCCTTTCCATTATTCATTCCATTTTTATACTTGAAAATAAATTGAAATGAATTCAAAAATATGTCTTGAGAATACATATTCACATATTTTTTCAGTATATTGCGTAGTAATTATATAAATATTCTATTGTCAAAAACAGAAACACAAATGTTTTATGTCTTGTTTGTTTGATAATTATATTATCAGTCATGAACTTCCAAGAATATATATTCAGTTAATTTTTACAAGTATTAAAAATAGCACTTTCAATGCTAAATGTGTTTTAATTTTAATGATCCAAACTCTTTCTCAAACCAAGAATAAGATATCCAATTATATGAATAAGTAAAAATTTATTTTAATTCTTAAATTGAATTTTTCAGATCTCCATTTGGTAACCTGGTCAACAATCATTGGGAGCTGCAATTATTACTGAGGTAGGAATTTTTCATTGCAAACTTAACAAATATGCATTTATAAATACCATAAATATGATGCTGCTAGCTTATGGAAAGGTATAATCGGTATATAAAGTAGAAATTAAGATACCGTCTGCTGACGACACCGATTGGTGAAATTCGATGATGGAGCACAGCTCGAGGGTTCCATTAAAAAAATAACCAGATAGTGATTATCTTATAAAAGTAAGCGAAAACGGTCTGTGAAATCATTTATTTCATGCAAATGACAATATGGAAGACACACCCACGTGTAAAAAAATCAAACTATAAAAAATGTGGGCATAAATATTCCATCAATATCTTGGGGATAATTAGCTATGTTATCGAGACACTTTGGTGACAGATATGTAATATCAAGTCTCTGAGACACTCATACTTTTGGCTGAGATCATCAGCTAAAAGAGAAGCAAGCAGAGTGAAAAAAGAAGATCGATCAGAGAATTGATAATACATTTATGGGAGACCCAATGGTCTTGTCCTTTTTTTAGCTTCTTGTGCTCTTCAAGCAGCTGGTAACAACCTCTGAGTCTTGCATTCCTACTGGGTCTTACGAGCCTCAGGAACTTTGATGGCTATCGTTGAAACTTTTCGGGAATTCTCAATCGTATAACTGACAAATGAGTCTTAAAAATTGCTTGAAGAGTTATGAGACACTTTTTAAATGTTTTGTAACAACCTTGTGGATAAACGACATTATCTAAAAAAATTTTGAATTTTGAAGATCATGTATGGAATCGAACATACCACTTAAATAATTAGAAGGTTCGGTAGAAAAATAAAAAATGTTAATTATTTTGAAAAATGGATTTTCACAGATAGAAGTAGAATTTTGATAAATAAAAATATATATAAAATTCAGGAAAAGCTTTTTGTTGTAAACATTGGTAGCTTGTCAAAAATTTCTCGTTAAATATCATATGATATATATTTTTTTTAATTTATTGATATTCATAGCTGAGAGACGTTTTTTTTTTAATTTTATGAAGTTAATTAAAAAATATATTCTGTGAAAATTAAGTTTTCAAATATTTTTTTTTTTTATTTACTCCAAAACTAATAATTTTCTTTGATAAACATGTATCAAAAATTCCATCAATATTGATGTTCTATGTAGCAATAAAGTAGCGATCAGAAGTACTGAGAACTTTAAAATGTCTAATAACTCTTCATTCTTATTATAACCACATGAGTTATTGGTTGTTTGAAAAAAGCAAAAACTTAACAATTTAATATTGCATTAGAGACTTTTTTATTTTTTAGTTTAACTTTGGAATTTCGATACCATTAGTCCTTTTAAAACACCTGAGATACCATCGTCTGGATGGCTACTATTCTTTTTACTTTAAAAACAAAAAGATAAGAAGGGAGAGTTTTAAGTGAAAAGGGAAATGAGATAGACCATGGTGTAATGGTAAAAATATTTTCAAAACTTTGTAATCTAAATGTGATGAAAACATGAAGGAAAAATGTTCTAGACATCTATTTACTTATCTAATATCAAGTTAATATTAAAATTTTCCATGTTCTTTTAAGGGATTACCAAGTTAATGAAACATGAAGTGAAAGTAAGACATAATGGGTTTCCATAAATTATTTTCCATTTTAAATTCTGTTTCTCTAACCTGTGGTTAAAACACGTGTATAAACGTAGATGTTGTTCCTTAAAATCTAGCACATCCGTTAGAAGACTTTGTTATTCTTAGATTCCATTGCATGTTATTGCGAAGAAAAGTCATGAAACTTGCTATTAACAACCGTACCACATATGCAGTTCGAGGTGCTCGTTAAAACTCATAACTATATCTAAACCTACATTCAATGTTGATAACAAAATGCTTCAATCAATAAAACTTTCGAGTTTTGTTACGCATTCAACTTATAAATCTAATTAGTGTTGATATTTTTATCAGGTATTGACTAAAATATTTTCAAATGTTAATTTATAAAATAGTCTAGTTCTTATGCAGCAAATAAATGCAGACCAAAGAGTATTTATTGTTTATTCAAATCAGACATCTTATGTTTTCCATCAAGAATTCTAACTTCTATTTCTGTTTAACATTATGCACTGGAACAAACGGAGCATGAGGATCAGTTAAATCTCTAGTAAACTGAAATGTTTCCATCTTATCAGTAGTAGCATTATAATTATGAATAGTTCGATATTGAATATTATTGACAATCTTATCTTCAATATCACGATAATAAGGTTTCCCATCAAGTCCAGTCCCAGAGAAAATACTTCTGCTCACATTATTGGAATTGTTAACTATAACTGTTTGTCCATTTGTCGACATAGGTATAGATCTAACTTGATCTGGAAAAAAAATATCAAGGATTTAGAAATAGTTAATAATTATTAAAAAATATCAGATGAATGTAATGTATAATTTAAGTTGTATGGTGTAAAGTAATAGAATGAGTCAGGAGTTGATTTTAAAGCTGAAGGTTGAAGCGTTGATTGAGGAATGACCAGTGAAAGGAGAGCAAATAGAACAATCATGGAAGCATATGTATGCAGTGATTTGCTTTTATTTTGCTTGAAGCTTGAATATTTCCATTCCACCATCCATTTATAGCGGGTTAATGACATTTTATTTATGAAAAAAAATGAAAAAAATTATTACCAATCAATCGATCTACTTTAGACAATTGTTCATTTACAGTTCTGTCAATATGTTGTTGGGCTTGTTGCACATTATCCTGAACTTGTCGATTTATATTTTCCACCATCGTATTTATCCATGATAAATCAACATACGGAGAGCATTGGCAACCACAGAAAATACTGTAAATTGTTTCCAAAAGTCATTTAATGTGTGCTGACTCATGTTAGCAATGAGATTCAAGATATTATTAAACATTCGAGAAATACTTACGAAATTAAGAGAAAAACAAAAATACTGGACTTCATTTTGAATTTATAGTCAGTATCCACGAACAAGATTTAACAATAACTTACATAGGTTCGATAAAAAAAAGATTCTTGCTTGTTATTGCAGCAGCAATTTCGCGTGACCGATCTCTTATGATCTCTTACATACTCGACAACAGGCATTATATTAACACTGTGCTACGTTGCAACTCTTACTCCCGTCCATCGACTATATGAACCTATACATAGAAAAAAGTAATTCAAACGCAAATATGATAGTGAATGGATGATTTCATTGTTAAAGATGGGAAAGATTCTTTTATTTTTCTATGTCAAGCTAAAAGGATGTACTTAAATCACTAAAGTCTAGATAATTGATAATTACGTTTATTTTTCTCACTTTCAAATGATTATTTGAGAGTTTTAAGAACTCATGAGAATTTTATTTTTGCAAAAAAGGCTATAAAATGATTTTAAAAACATTCTTTTATATGGTCCTTTAAAATTTTTAAGTAATTAATTTTTTTAGAAGTCAAGTCTCATAAAAAATTTAAGAAAAGTTAGATTAGCTTTGAAAGCTTGTTCAAAGAAGCATAGTGTTTTTAATCAAGTCTTTTAAGTCATTTTAAGTGACTTTTTTTCATCATTCTCTGTTGGAATACTAACATTTATTTTTGATTCCTATTTTTAATAGATTTATTTTAAAATAAAAGTAAAAATTAAACTCTCTACTTTAAACTCATCTAAGCTTGGTTTAAACTTAAATACTATCCTTCGTTTTAAAAACTTTTTTACATTTTTTATCATAACAATTAATAGCTAACGTTCCAACAAAAACTGGTAGAGTGAAAAAAATAACACACGGCAGGTAAAAAATTTTCCAAAAAAAAGGAAACGAATTGTTTCTCACAGTATAAATTGTGATGATCATTTTATAGCATATTTGGGAGAAAAAAGATGATTTAAGTTTTCTTTAAGAAATAAAATGAAGAAATAAAAGTCATTAAAAATTAGGCAAACTTATGAGGCATATTTTCCAGAAGACACAACAATTATCCCTTGGTATAGTGCCGCTGTTAGATCATCGCCTCTGATCTTCTGACATTTTTAACCATCGTCTTTTTAATCGTGCCTGGCGCACCTTAATCGTTTTATCCGTGGGTCATTCCAGGTAACGAGCGATGTCTGATTATTCTCATCAAGATTATGATTGAAGTTGGACTATAATATGGAAAATGAAGAAAAAATAATTAGATTATTTTGGTCTGAACTAAAAATGATTCTTTGATGATTTAATTATACCTACTCCTGTATGCAAAATTAATTCGTTGATCATCTAGAAAGTGGTGGAAAAAAAGAATCTAATTTTTGCTTTGAGCAAGCGAGAACTTCATGTAGAAAGTGATCTGCATTTTGTATAAATTTTTCTCATTCACTAGTTTGCTCAGTAATAAATTATTTATAAAGTAGATAAAGTTTAAACATAATGAGAGACAGCACTCCAGATAAAACTAACAGGCGAATAAATTCACTCCTTTTTCTTCAGCTTTTCTCATTTTATAGCCTTTCCCTACCACGAAATTCATGAAGTCCTTTGACTTTTTTTTGTAGTTAAACGTTCCTGTTCTCATTTCCTGTATATTTTGTAATTTATACTCTACATCTTACAAAAAAACTTGAAGAATGTGGTGACAATAATTCTTATAGAGCATTTATAAAAATTAATAACTTAGTCTTGATCATAAAAACATTACATCATTTTTCATACAGCTATTAATTAAATAAATTCCTCCTCTTGGTTCTAATAAAATCATTATCTAATATTACAGGTATTTATTATCAATAACATGGAGTAGATAAAAAACTTTGTATCTTTCAATAGCAGACGTGTCAGTTTTATTCTCTTTTGCAGCAGTCAGCCCCAGGCTCTTCATTTGTTTTCGTTTATTTTTAATACACTAGACTTTAGTGACTAGAGACTGCAGAACTCATTCAAATCAACAACGATCTTCTTAACTTTGCAACAAAAGAAAAAAAAATATTCTATTCATCCAATCTTTAGACAGGTCTTGACTTATATGAAAGTCCAAGATATTTTATACTTTAATTTCAACTTTTGTCTAAATGACAACTGTGAGATTGATAAATTATTTGAAATAAAAAAAATATTTAATTCATGAAAAAAAAAAATTAGCTTATCCGTTTATCGATTTGACTCTGGGCTATCATCGAATTCGCTAAATATGAAAATAAACGAATGATAGGATTCAGGAAGAGAATATAAATGAATTAAAAGTGAGGATAAAATTTATGATAAAATGAGAAAAAATGGAAATTTATCAGATGCAATCGAGTAAATCGTATGCTGTATCCCACTGGTGGCAACACTCCCAGCAGGATTAAATGCCTGGAAGTGATCGCTGATGCTTGTTGGATCCATGCCCGGAAGGACTTCAACTCGAATGGAGATCATAAAACACTTTTGCGAAAAACATGAGTCTCTGAGGTGTTGCAAGGTTGATGTTCAGGTTTCATGAAAGATGACCAAAGCGAGGGAGTTCCTTAGACATCCTAGAAACGAAGGAGAAATTGGGAAGAAGGATGTTGTTCTACTGACTTGGAAGACAGAACAGGTTTCAAGTTTTCTTTTTTTAGGCCACACGGGGGATTCAAGTATTTTTTTTTCTCAATCGTAAGAGAGGAAGAAGAATAATAAGAAGGTCGAAGGATTGGTTCCAACCGTCCTTGATGGATCCTACTTACCTAAATGCATCATCTGAAAACCTGTAGTCTTTTAACTCGTAGATATATCGAAGCAGGTAGCCCAATACTGGTATAACGGATGTGTAATCATATTGACCCTTCTTGAGAAAAAGAGATAACTTGGGTAACTCGTAAAGTTGTGACTTGGACCAATATTTCACTAAATAAATTAAAACTTTTTCTTTTGATATGGTATTGAAAGTTTTTTTAGAAAGAAAGTCTCGTTAATCATGTCAACGTATCAATATCAAACATTACTTCGCCTACATGTTGTTAGCATCACAAGATTTTACGATAATTAAATCACTATTGAATTCTTAATATTACATCGAGTCAGGCTGTTTTCAATTTGATGATGATGATGATGATGATGATTAACGATAGGTATGATGAATCAAAATCTTATATTGAAACTTCATTGTTCTAAGTGCAAGATTAAAATTTGGGACGGTTTTGATAAAATCTGGTCACCTGATTAATCTTATTGTAAAACTTTCTCTCAGATTAGCTGGTATTAAAATAAAAAATAATTACTACCAGCTCGTACAAATAGATATATATTATTATATAAAACAATCATTACCAAGACAAATATATTTTATTGACTTTGTCCTTTGTCAAAAGGGCTCAGTGTTTTCTTTTGTCTGCCCAAGATCCACCAGGTCATTCGTAATGGCAATACGCTGTGACATTTCCTCTTCAACTCGCTATGGGAGGCAGAAAATGCTTTTTGTCCTGCACTTAAGTTTGACTGTCAGAGGCGGGAGTGAACCTAGAAAGAGGACAAAAGATACAAAAGTGTCGCCACAATGTCCTTCTTAGGCATCCAAAGGCTCCTGGAAACTGACCCATTGATCTGTAACAATGCTTTTACTCCATTCCTTCTGTTAATGGTTTACTTACAACTTAGAAATTGGACACTTAACTCGATTGCTATCAGACTTTCATTATGAAGAAGACATATAGCTTCCTAAAAATATCCATCAATGATAGATTTTAAAAAATTCCTGACGAGATGTTACCACAAAGTGGAGTAATTTATTTTTATTGGTCTCCTGGATTCTGACCTTCTCAACATTCCTAGGTTTATTACCTTCAATTTTTAAACCACATCAGTAACTTCAATAACATACTAGTATGTGATACCACATGTCCAATATTATAAAAAGATATTGCAACTTTTAATGGCTTTTTAACATCCATGAACTTTTATTTTGCTCCAAAACAGGTATATAAATTCTCTATTTCATTTATATTTTATTTTTCACCCATGTCAGTCAAACGTTATCTTGTTTTAATGAATTTTTAATGAAACAATCATATTTCTTTTATTGTTGCCACGTCTCTTTTCATTGTTTGTTATATTTCAATTATTTAACACGTGTTTTAATGGGGAACCTTAAATTCAATTTATTACTTTATTAGTATTCATGCATATAACTATATTATAATACAACTTCATATCATATATTTATTACAGTTTATAAACTTGAGCAAAATAACTCTATTTTTTAAACTTGAATAAAGAAGAAATAAATTTTCTTTACCTTTCTTTTAAAAATACAAACTCGTATATTTTTTAACATCCATTCCAATTCTTTTCTGCGAATCTCACTTTTCAATGGAACAAAGAGTAAAGTTTTTCTCTTTATTCTGGTGTTAGTGGCTAAAATAATTGTATTTTCAGTCTCTTGTAAGGTACCATTTGCATATTAAAAACTATCCAGAAGAATGAAGTCAAGCAAAAAAAACAAAAACAAAAAATCAAAAAATTTTTTTTTTTGTCTCAAAAGCAATTGTTTGAATTAGCATTTTTTGTTCCAGTTGTCATCGTTGGTGGCTACATCATATGTGCATTCTACACATCCTCACTGGCTTCTTCTTTGGACATAACAGAGAAGATCAGGTAGGGTGAGTTTAGGAGGCTGTTGACTGGCGCCAACCTGGCGGTCGACGATGGAAACTGAGGCTTTCTACCATGACGCTAACTTTGAAGAGTAGGGAGCGTCTATGAGACTTGCGCATGCTCTTGCAGTAACTCGTGACTCGATTTGTGTTCAGTCAGTACCAAACTACGGTACCTAACCTAATGCCGTAATAAAGTTGTTGCTCTCGTGCTCGTGCGTCATAAGCATCGCGCGCGATTCAAAACATAAACAAACAGTGTGGATAACAAACCAAGTGCCATTTTTTCTGGACATTTTATTAATTTGTGAAGTTTTAAAATATCCTATTGAACTCTTGAGTGTAATTGAGTGTTTGGAGCACATTTAATGGAAGATTTGACGCTTACTATTCGCTCAACCGTGTAAAGTGAGACATAAGCATCGGCCTTGCTATTACTTAGCATTCACGTGTTAACCCCAAGACTTATCGGACTTGTTTTTACTCGTGAATCGATCGTCGACCTTAATATCAACATCTCAGTGGCTCCAAGAAGTTATAATACTGCCTGATTCATTGGCAACATGTGTATTTTGATTACATCGTACTTCAAGAAGACCACTGCGTCCTAACTTTCATCTTCAAAAGGTTAGTTTATGATTGCAGTTCATTTTATCAATATATCAGCATAAGTGCTTTAATCTTGCTACTCAAAGACTTCATGCAGATGTAAATTTTTGAGAAGTTTGATTCCAAACATCTTTTGATTACTCCTAATTGATTTGCTCCAAATAGCTATATTTTTAAAGGCAAGTTCGAACAATTCTATTAAGTTGTTTATTCAATAATACTCATTCTTAAAAACTACCATTCTATGCTTCATTTGTGTTTACCTGAGCTAATTCCTTGATAATTTTCATAATGATAACTATTATATCCATTCTCTTGACGTAAATTGTTTTACAATTTGGTCATCATTGCCAACCATGTGTTTAACTTTCAAAGTCTCCAATTATTTAGGTAAATTAGTCGTACGAATTTACATATGAACTTTTTTTCATCATTTCAATGTTACCTAACTATTTTCATAATCACATCCAATATGAATAATCATTAGTAATTTTCTTCTTTCTACCAATAGAAGCATCTCGACATTTATACATAATACATAACACTTTGCCCTTGATGTAAACATTGAAGTCTTTTTTTGCCATTACCCAGTAATTGAAGTTTGAAATTTTTCTAAGAACATTCAGAGTATTTATGTTTTTTTTTCACTTTTTATTTGTTCAAAGTATTTCTTCTTACTTACTTTATTAATGTATTAAACAGTTTCTGTAATAATTATGATGTAATTGACTGGTACATAATTACAAGTGTTTATTTGATCAAAGCCACGCACGGAAGTGCGAAGGTCGAATTTAAAATCTAGTCTACACGCGACAGTAGTCAATAAGAGCGGATGTTTGTAATGTTACCAATATCGACATTTGTTCATGAACATTTAGCTACAACTTCATCACAACATTTTCACTTTCTCAATAGGAAATCGAAAGCAGTTTTATTTAGCCAACCATATAGGACATGTAAATTCAAGTTTTTATCTCTTGCACAGAATATTTTTTTTTGCTTTGATCGATGGAATTTATGAATAATCAAGAAGATCCAGTGATTTTAGCCGACTGAGTTTGCGTTTTAAAAGCGAATCATTCGTCGAAATACGGCATGACTGGGTTTCTCTTGGCTTATTCTCTTGTATCAGAGCTATTGGTCGCCACGAAAAGACATGAATTATTTATCATGGCGTGTCCGACCATCGAGAGTTCGGCACGTCCACTGACTTCGTATGTACATGGAGTAAGATAGAAAAAGAGAGTGAAGGATGAAGAGTCTTGATCACGATTCTATGATACCTGATCTTCACTGGTGTCTTCCGTCAACTCGTTTGGCCAATGGTCCCGTGTGCCCACGACTTGTTGAATAACAATGACAGGCGTGGATGGCGTTAATTGGTACTACAGATTGACACGCGTGGTGTCAGAAGAGTACTGAGTAAAATACGCTTTGAAATTAAAGCATGTTCAAAGACTACAGGAACTGGTCTAGTGTATATTTGCTTTTTGACTACAACTCATTGGCGTAAAATCTTTTTTTTTACGCACGTTTTCTTGGTTTAAAAGCCTTTTTTAAACCTTTTTGGTGAATAGACAGTTTAATTATATGGTGGGAAATTTTTTTGTTCAACCAGTGAACTTTTTCCCTGTTGAATTTTCCATATTTTTTGTGCTAGAATAGCACATCCTAAGAAGTTGAAAGTCATTTAAAAATATTTGTGAGTTGAAAAATGACTTTTAAAGTCAAGTATTATATAGAAGATGAACTAGTAATTTTCATAGCTAATGTTTTTTCAAATATTCTATGTCACGTATATTTGCTTTAAAACCTGCGGGTATTGATACACAATAAAATTCCCAGATCCTTCATTAACGTAGGTTCTCGGACAAAGTTTTAACTCATTAAAAATACGTTAAGCAAAGTTTTCACATGAAAATTAGAGATTACTTTTGTTTTGATTACGAAGAACTCTCTTTTATTATTCTTCAGTTTGTTTTTAAAGTCACTAGACTTTTAGTGAAGGGCAAAAAGTCCTTTAATTGAAAACCAAACATTATTTCTTCATGTTATTTCTGATTTTAAGTATTTCCTCATGTTTGAAATTACGTATTTATTTTATGACAAACTCCAGCAGCGTAAGTTTCATTTTTACAAAAAAATTCTTTCTTAATTTGTTTTAAAATTACAAATAAAATTATTGAGCTTCTAGTCTTTAATAAAATCGATGAGTGTTATAATTAGCCTAGACTTTGGCTTTTTTTTCATGTAGAATTCTTATCAATATGATTCTACATACACCTGAGACACACCTGAATGACATATTGAGTCTCAAGCATACATAAAAGAGTATATCAAGAAGACAAGTGTGTAGCAAAAAAAAGAAACAACATGCAAGGTTTCACAATCGATAATCCAACGTTCTCTGAAGGCTATTAGAGGTCGAAATCCAATTATATTACGCTAAGTTGATAATTCAAATTCGACGCCAATGTGTACCTACCTCTGAAAGTCTTTGAAGAGTGAAAAGGTCCAAGTACCTTCCCCATTAGTTTATTCTCTACTCTTCTTTCTCTGTTACTCTTTTTATTTTTTAACTTCTCTCTTGCTTTTTCTTTTGAAAAAACCCCCTGCAGGCTTCTATTGTGTATTCTCTCAACCCCAAATTCGAAAACTGAGTATGCTCACATATGATTCACAGCAGGGCCTCTCATGCATTCGTGACCCAACAAATGGCAAGGATCACTATTTCCAGTCGATTTATATTTTTTTCTAAATACGCTCGTGATTTGCAGCTGCAAACCTCATTCGCGGAGTGATCTTCCTAATCGTTTTGGTCTGGAATTATGAGTGATTTTCAAAGAAAATTGATGGAAAAGGTCGAGTGTTTATGTCATGTCACGTAAACGTTTAAGACAGTTTAACTTTTAATATTTCATTTTAATATCAAATGTATAAAATGAATTTTTTTCCAAGTCATTTTTTGCATATACTTTTTTTTATTATTACACAACTTTTAGATTTAAAATTTTTTTTCTATATTTTTCTTTCATAAAAAAATTCTTAAATAATGATTAGTTTTTTATTCCAATATTATTATTATTATGATAATAAAAATATTTTTATGGGTTTTTATTTTTTTAACTCAAGCCATTTAAAGTCTTCGGAAATAAAAAAAATTTACTGAAAAGTAATACACTATGTGTGTCATTGTTTTAAATCAATAACGTACTTGACATTGATTTGCAGGTAAAAATTACTCGACGTGACATTTAGAAATTGCATTCACCAAGATATTTCTGTGAAGAGTTGTAAAAAATTTTTCTCATGAAATTATTTCTTATAAACTTGGTTATTATCAATCAGTATTACTATTTGACATTTTAAAGAGAATTATTTTCTAAAAAAAAAAAAAAGTTATATTGCTTTTACTTTATTTAAATTTTAATAAAATTCTAATAATTCATTTTTAATAATTTTTCTTCATACATTAGATTATCAATTCTACTTTTTTTTTTTTTCTCATTCTTCCAAACTATCTTTCGATTATTTATCCAACATTTCTTTTTCCATACACAACATATTTGTGTGGTCTGTACATCTAACTTTTATTTTACTTTATATATTAGACCTGTTTTGTGTATAATCTTGTAAAGAATGCCACCGCTTCCGTCTCCAAAAATATTTCATTGATGAAGAAAAAATAATACGCACGCTTTAGATAATATAATATATCCATATATAAATAGCTAAACTTATACCACATGATAATATATTGAGTTCTGAAAGTCGATGTAAAATAACTAAAGAATAATCTTCCTCTTTCTCTCATGGTGTCAACAAAATTTCAAAAGAATTTTTACTCTTACGCGAGTGGAAATAAATTTATTCAAGTTCATCTTTATTATAAATTCTATCGTGTATTATGAGATAATCATAATTTAGGAAAAAAATACTTTGATAACAAATTGGAAAAGCGAGGCAAATTAGAATAATCTACAACGGTGTGATACTTATTAATGATTGATACACCTGAAGTTCAACAAGAATTATGAGTTTTTAACGACTTTTATTAAATACTGGATAGATTAAAATTAAAACTTAATTGACCCGATTGTTTAATCAAGTCTAAATTAAAGTAACTCAATAATAATAAAAAAAAGTTTATCTAATTTTTTTTAACCTTTTTTGGTGTTTTTTTTTTTTTTTTAGAAATGATAAAGTTTACGTAAATATTTTTTTTATTTATTTCACGCACTATTCTTGAGTGTCCGTTTATTTATTTTTGTTTCTTATCAAAAAGCCTCGAAAGTTCAACATTAACTTAGAGATACGAGATTAATTTTATATTTAAAACGAATTGTCGAGTTTTTAAAGTTGATGTAGGTTTTTTTGTCGTAATGCTCGTAAACTTTCTTTACGTCGAAACATCAAGATGTGCCCTAGACGATATTTGTACTTATTCGTCCTTTGGCTTCCATTGAATATTTTTATTTCGACTTTTATATTATGTCTGATTGCCGCTTATCATCGAGATTAAAGTAACACCAAGTGAATCTCATAATATACGTCGAGCCATGCATCGTAGGGTTTTATATATAAATCTCTTTTATTTTCGTTTCTCTCATCGTTTATTTTCTCCAGCTTTTGCTGTCTTCCTTTTTACGATCCTTCTTAACGTCAGAACCTGTTTTTGGAGTTCACCCACGCTGACGGCAGCTTCTTTCGACCCGCGCGTTTTAAATTTTCGAAGGTCGAACCAGTAGGGTCGAAAATAGAGAAAAAAAATTGACGGAAAAATAAACTAGCGAAGAAAACAATAAAACCACGAACACGTGCTACACATCTGGAACTTGTGCACACGTTTAACACCCTAACATTTCGTGCAAAAAAAAAAAATGGAGAAAAAAATTATTATATTAAATGAGATCATTTTATCCATCTTTTTGCTCTTTAAAGCTATAAAAAAAATTTAAGTGCTTTCAACTAAATCAGCTGTAATTTTATTGGCTACAATTAAAGACACAATGCATTTT